TGTCAAAGAACTGAGCGGGTCTGAATAGTTTGGACCTTCTCAGTTTTCATACAGACAGAGCATACTATCGAGATAAAACTCAACATGATATGACCATCATGTAAACATTTCTTGAGAAAGTTTAGTTTACAAACCTCCATAGATAATTCATTAGGACCAGGAATTTAGCTCAGTGGTTCTGCTGCCTGCCTCGCAAGCACAAGGTCCTGAGTTTGATCCCCGGTATCAAAAAAAAAAAAAAAAAAAAAAAAAAAAAAAGAGAGAGAGAGAGAGCAAGAGATAGACTTCATTGTATCCAAAAGAGCAAAATGTTTTGAAAAGAAAGCAAACTGATTTCACAAAAGCATTAAAAATCAAACACACACACACACACACACACACACACACACAGAGATGAGGCAGAGAAGAGCATACCTGAAGGAGTCTGAATCTCCGTTACACAGTTTGATCCTATTTATTTGATCCTAAATATCTGATCCTATCTAAAGTGCCTGGCCATTAAGCAAACCCAGGTGCTACATTTGAGTAGTATGAATAGATGTGCCTATAGTTTGTAAAATCATCATTGGAAGAAAATTTTAAAATTTAAAGTAAAACCTAACTGGCGAAGCAGTAACTTACTTTGAGCTAGTAAGACTCATACAATTCAAAATTAGTCAAAAGGAAAAAAGACTTTCAAAGACATGAAATGAAATGGTGCTTTGTTTTATTGGTGAAGATTGTAGGTGACAGCAGTGTCACTAAGCTGACTCACAGAATGATGCTCAGTAAACATCAGTGACAACTGAAAGTAAGAAATGCCAAAAGAAAGCAAAATTTTAAAGATGCATACAAATTTGATCTAAATCTTCCACATAATAAAACTTATTATATGAAGCAGAAAACATTGAGCAGAGTTCACATTCCCTGTCCCTAGATGATTTTATTTGTATCCTCATATACATAGCTAGCATGGTTAAAACCACCCCCTAGAAATTTTTATTTGAATCTACAAGTGACACTTTTACTACTTAGCTATTCAAAGCAATTAGGATATGATAATAAGGGATATTTTAAGTCCTTTTCAGAAAGTAACAATGCATTCTGAAGATATTGTACCAAATTAAAAACCCAAAGTATACCAATACTTCAGAAGTTTCTCTTTTTAGATGTGTTTCTTTAGTAACCATCAGAGAGTATCAATGAACCATTTGAAAACATCTCTAATAAAGTAAAATCATCAGTGTCAAACATAAAATGCAAATATAATGCATTTGCTTTCTAGAAAGGCAAAGAAATGATCTAGTCACTTAAAAATTAACAAAGATTAAATTCCTTCTGTAAATGTAGATAATAAAAATCTGAAAGGAAGCCTTCTGCCTTCGAACAACTCTATCAATTCCAAAGCAAAATAAATCCTTACCAGCTGGATGCACCAATAACAGCTAAATTTATCTGGCTCAGATTATATTTTATCATAATTTTATTATGAGGTCAGAGGTCCCATGGGGAGAGCACTGTCACATGACAAGAAGACCATGCAGGGAGGAGAGAGTGGTGGGAAAAATGGGAGGAAGAGAATGTTAGAGGTCAGCCAAGTCCCAACCAGCCACAGTTTTAGGCCAGGTGATAAGTTCAGATTCCATCATGAGGGCAATGGGAAGCTTAAAGCAAAGAAGGATCTTGGCATAACATTTTTCAAAGAGGACTCTGGTAGCTGGATTTTGGTAGAGTCAGAATGGATGTGGGAAGAGTAGTAGGAGATTATCTTAGTGATCTGGGCAAGACATGGTGCTAGCTTGTGGCGAAGTGAAGCAAAGGAACACAGGAGACATTGTGGAGCTGTAGCTGATGGAGGTACACGAGTGGGTTAAATGCAGTGGGGCAAAGGTATAGTAAAACTCAAGGCTGCTTTGGTGCTACAGGGGGATGATAGGAAGATTATTAGGGGTGGAGGTGGGAGAGGACTAGGGGGATAGCAACAGCATAATTTTGGGTTTTATTAATGGAATATTTGGAATGTTTATTTCATATCTAGGACACATCAGGGAGGCAGTTGGACATAAAAATTGGAACTTGATTGACAGGATTTATAAATATTACTGATATTTAAGGTTGTATGGCTGGCTCCAGCTTAAGAGTGTAGCTGAAGTGGAAAAGCTTGAATCCAGCCCAGCTCCTCACTGCTGTGAGTTTCAAAAAAAGAAACAGAACCAGCAAAGAGGCTGAGGAGTACAGTTCAGAGGAGAATCATAGAACAAGGCTTCCCACAATCTGCAAGGACAGACTGTCCTACAAGGAGAATGTTGCCCTCTATCCAATGCTGCAAAGACATCAAAGAAGATGAGAACAGAATAGTCATGAGTGGCCCTCAGCAGGCAGATTTCAGCAAGTACTTGGAATGGACACTTGGTCTCCATCAACTGAGGGAAGAACGGAATGTGAAAATATTAGAACAATACTTCTGCTTGCTAGCAACAGCTAGGAAAAAATGGGGTGCAATCAGAAGGGGAGTAAGAAGCCTAGGAAAATTAGAATACATATGAACACTAGTCAGACTTACCCAATGGAGAAGGAGAAATTGGTGATGCAGGAAAAAATATGTTTAACTAAAGGAGAAAGTTTTGGTAAGAGGGAATGGGGTCCAACAAACAAGATCATCATCCTCAGACAAGGAGAGAAACTCTCCACCCATCCCAGTAGTAGGAAACTCACAGGGTGTGCATTCACATACAAGGAGGTCCATATGTTTGAACATACATGATAAGGAGTTATTTTTGGAATAGACAAAGAGCATACACATGTTACAGAATAACAACACCAGTGCATATCAGTTGTATTAATGAGTATATACATATATATGCTCATTACTAGAAAGTAAATGCAATGGAGAAAAGGAAATGAAACAGTATCTTATGTATTGCCTTTGCTAATTGAAAATTTGATTCCTACATTTCTACACATTACATCCTTATTTACTGTAGATCTATGATTTACCAGTAGGATCATTTTATAACCTTAACCAGACAGGGAGCCATACTCAAATTCTATCTTCCTTAACAGGTGTCGCCCTACCATCTTAACCTGCTCTGCCTTCCTCTGGGTCTCTGAGTTGCACCTCACAGTGCAAACAGCACTCACTCCGTTTTTGTCTCTTGCTCAAATACACATTAAGGTTTCAGGATGGGGCCAAGTGCCTTACATAAAATATCATTGTCTCTCTCACTGTGAAAACCTAATGTTAGATATAACGTGAGTACTTAATAAATGCTTGTGACCAATTTACCTTTTTAGAGTTGAATGGCTGATAAAAAATATTATGCAGCAATCTGTTGGCTGATAGAATATGCATAATTCTTCACAGCACCTGCTGGGCATTGCTGGGAGATGCTGAAATCATTCAACAAATTTCTCCTTATACACAATTCAATTAGTTTGTCTGGAGTGAGCTCTATAATGTGTACCAATCAAAAGTGTAATAGGGAGCTATGCACAGGCTGTGTTCATACTAGTGGCTTGCATCTGCTGTCTCACAGAAAGGAGATGTCTACAATAGTATCAAAGTGTGGGAAGCTTAAGCAGGTTATAATATTAAGGACTGAATGTCGTGAAATCAATCTAGTCATATCCTTAGTGGAAAAATATTATTAATATGAATATGATTAAGAAAATATTCATTCCCGTAGTCTATTTTACATTCTCTTAGATAAAATTTTTCTTCAGTCTACACTAAAAGCTTAGGTGCATATGAATTTCTAGTTTGTTGAATTTTGTGAAGCACATATTTAATTGCTAATTTAGCTCTTAATTATTAAGCCAATTGAAGGTATTTGGCTATCATAGTTAAATAGGATTGCAAATATTACTTACCTATACTTTCTTAGAGTTAGTAACAATACTATCATGCAATATTGTCCTTTAATTATATCCAACAAGTTACCACATACAGTTACTGAGTTAACAATTAGAATGACATTTAACCAAATGCTCCAGATACTACACTTAGCTGAGAGAGCTCTGTGGAAATAGGCAACAATCACTGTTAAAATCTATTATTTTCTAAAGTAGCTATTGACAGAATGAACTACTTTGAATTTCCATGTTATACGCAAATAAACAAAGACAATGAATGTGAACAAAAATATCAATAAATTTATAATTTCAGGATATATGAAGCCTATACCAAAAATATCATTAGGAAGATTTCCTCAGTCGAATCCTATAGCATCGGACATTTTACAATGTTTACACCTAAAACACTGATTATAATAGTCATAAAGTCTATAGATAATTAATACTAAGCCTGTTTAGTGATTATCTGAGGTTTTTATTCATTTCTTACAAACTTACACGGATTTTTATTTTGCTATTATTTATCCCACATATTAGATTCTAAATAGCCATAAAATGACAAAGCTTACATTGTTGATTTAAAAATAAATCCAGAAATTTAAAAATTATTTTAAAATTAAACAGCCAACTATAATCCACTGATTCTTGTAGGTTCTTGGAGAGCATAAACATACACTTGCTAGAGATATTTTTGTTTAATCACCAGGAAAAAAGATACAAATCCTTCTCTTAAAGCTCTTTTCTCCTCTAGGGAAGGAACAAATCTTAAAACAGAGGCTAATAAGCAATTAATAGCCCAGACTTAACTAAATAAGTGTGTTAAATGTGATACTACAATATCTTGGTAAATATAAGAATTTTGAAAGCCATAAAATTAAAGACTTTGATATGTGTGAGATCAATAGGCATGACTTATCAGTATTTAAAGTGGGCTTTAATTTTTAAATGCCATGTTCCAGTGAAAAAGTGTACAGCATAGGGGCCAGCAATTTAGCTCAGTGGTACCACTGCCTGTCTTGCATGCCCAAGGTCCTGAGTTTGAAGCCCGGTACCAAAAAATAAAAAAATAAAAAGTGTTCTTACTGCACAGGAAAATTGAAATTTCAATAAAGAATCAAGACAAAAGAAACAAACTTCATATTAAAGTACCTTTAAGAGGTTATACTTACGCAGCAACCTTCTCTTTTGACAGTCCTTTGAAATTCACCTCCAGGTAATGATCTATGTCATTTTTTTCTTTGATCAGTTGAGACCTAAATGAAATGGAAAGAAATAATAAAGCACTGACTTTCAAAGTTGAAAATCTCCCAAACACGTAAAATGCCACCAGGAGAACAGAGGTATTCAGGGCATAATAGCACAGACAATAAATATTCTTAAATTGCTATAGTTGGGTTGTTGATAGACTGTTTCAAAATTTTAATTTTCCTGAATGGAAATAGATAGGGAAGATCATTAAAACCAGTGTAAAAGCAAATAAAATGCCAAAAAAATTGCAGTAACCCACATTTTTAAATAAGTAGCGTTTTCTCCACAAAAATTTTAAGTTCTTCTGTCTTGTTCACGCTGTTTCACAGTATCAAATTCCCTCTGCAGAAGTCATATTTTGTTTACCATAGAATATTAAATCAGGAACAATTATTTGATACAAACATTACTATTTTTCCAGAAATGATGTTTTAAATCATGTTTTTAAAATCACACATACATTTCAAATTATCAGAGGTTCAAATGCATAACTTTTAATAAAACTTTACTGAGCAACATATTTTAGTGTGTTCATGCTTCACAACTCCTGCACAATTTAAAAAATAAACGCTATTAATTTCTCATAACAATTGAGACGTGAAATTAAGTAAATATCTTTGTTTTATTCAGAAGCTATTACTGATTATGTGAAATTTGCCCTAAAGGTTAATTATAAAAATATTTTTCTTCAATAAAATGAATAAAAGAATAAAAGAAGTTTTCTTTAAAAAACATCGATCTTAGGGAATGCTCCCCTTGAAAAGAAAATATAATCTCTATCATTAATAAAGATAGGAAGAACAAGTTCTTTTTTCATACTTTGCAAATATTTCACAGCATTCAAAAGTAAGATGCAAAGCTAGAACACACACAAATTGTGCATCTGTCGAAAGATTTCTCAGCTACAGAAAAGGAAAATTTTTGATTTGCGACTTTAAAAGAACTTTTATGTTAGTTTAACTGTGTATTTATTTTGGTCCAGGGACTTTGGTCTTTTCCAGCAGTACTAAAAATGAGAAATGAGAACAAAGAAGTCTCATAATACTTTGATCACTAACCTTGCAGGAATCGAGAATTAGGAATATAAAGAAAATAGTCAAACTTATATATACACAATACTCATATTGATGAATATGAAGATTACTAAAAGTCAATAAAATTACAAATGGCAATTTCAAAGTTTCACTGTCTCAGTTAATATTCATAAATACGACAAAAATGCTTTAAGTTCTCTGTTTTGCATTTTCTCATTTACAACTCCAGTAGTTAAGCAGCCATTTACAGACAGCAGCAGTTTGAAGGTGCACTTTTAGACCCTGAATCATTTCAGGAACTAAATCGTGCCAGCCAATCTATTTGAGTAGGAAAAGTGCACCCTTTTCCCTTTACAACTGCTCAGTGTTTGTGTTCTTGTAGATTACACGACGCGAACCTTTCATGTTTTAAAACTTCTTTCCTTTCTTTATACACATTGTTAAAAGAAACATTTTGAAACCCTTTAGCAACTGTGGCAACTGCAGTAGGAAACAAAATGATTCACTGAGCACTAGCTTGATAAACGTATTGATGGTTTTTGAATGAGGTTCATCAGTCCTCTTAAAACATATTTGAATGTTTGAATATAACAACATACTTCTCTTTTCCTTAAACAATTTTATTGTCTGAGATGTGCTACTGACATCTCTTAATGCAGACATTTCAGAAATTTTATTCTGTAGGAAAAGCACTGAAACATACCTTGAAATTGCCCCAGAGGAACACGGCAGCTTCTGTACGGCTAAAGCCATAAGCTTTGGACGTGTTGTGGGTGGTGAGGGAAGGGTGGTCATTTTGGCCTATGAAAAATAAGCAGAAGGGCATTGTAAAGAATGAATCCTCAAAGAATCCTTTAAGACACAATTAGCAATCTAGTCTTTCTTAGGGGACAATGCCGCCATAGGCAGAACTATTGCTATGTTACTAAGGAACAATATTGTGAGTGGATTTGTAAGTTGCTTCTCTCATTATTTTCTTCTGTTTGCTTTTCAGCCAATTTATTACTTATCTGCATCCCCACCACAAACTAGCTAAGAAGGAAATCCGATGAATGCATTGAAGATTCAGACAATCAGTTTGCTTTGGTAAAAGTTTTGTTAAGGAGCACTGTTGTAATTACATAGTGAAGGTCGTTAGGATAGCTATGGCTTTCTGATGCTTTGCTTTGCTCTCCTGTTACAATCAATGATTGAAAATAGCTCAAACTTTGTTGTTTCCTTAAAACCTCATCACTTAGAAGAAGTAATGGGTGCTAAGAATAATTCCCAATGAGGAGACAGCTGCCTTGCTAAGGAGGCACATAGCTATGATATGTAGTGTAAGAAATATAGTGGCTCTAAAAAATTGTTAAAAACAGCTCGTTTCTCACACTTTATATCTATCAGGAATTTGAACACGGAATAATAGAGATGGCTCTTTGTTCTGTGATGGTCAGGACCTCCACTGGGAAGTTTCAGAAGCTGGGGTGACCCAATGGTGAGGGACAGAAGTCAGCTGCACGTGGCTTCACTCAGGTGTCTGGTGCTGGATGCTCTCTTAGCTGCGACTTCCACTGGGGCTGTTTGTTGAAATACATATGTGTGGTATGTTCAGATAGGTTGAGCTTCCTCACAGCATGGCAACTATAGATTCCTTATTGGACAGCTCAGGGCTCAAAAGGCAACAGAATGTCAAGTGGTAGCTGTATCTCCTTTGAGGTTCTGGCCTTCAAAGTTACATAGTGTCACTTCTGCTGCAATAGTAGGCCTGCTCAGGCTTGCAGCAGGTGAACACAGAAGCACCTCCTGGTGGAGAGTGTCAGAGCCACATTGCAAGGTGATAATGTGGGATAAGAGTCAGTGGTGGACCTCTTTAGAAAATACAACATGCTGTAGTAGTGAGCAGTAAGAAAGACAGGTCTCCAACATCAACTTGTTTAATCTCATCCCCAGCGGAAGAAATGTGGGCATCATATCTGGTAGATTTAAAATAGAAAAGTTGTCTAATGTTGCAAGGGCTCTCAGTGCAAGATAACCCATCCTTCTGTTAAACAGAGAGGCATCCAAACAACTGAAGGCTTCTGATCCAGCCCCTCAAGCCCCAATTACATCCTCCAGCTTTGACTTCTACCCTTAGCATCAGCAAGCACCTGGAAGACTTCTTTTAGGTTTCAAATCATTTCTCTCCAGCATTTCATACCTGTGTGACCTACAGTGTTACAGTCAATTTAGGGCTTGAATATATTCAACAGATATTTAGTAAACTACTACTTAGAGACAGAGCACTATCCTAAGTGCTGAAGGTTAATGAATAAAGAGACAGATATCTCCTCACAGAATTCTGATTCCACGGGATTCCCATTATAGGCACAGATATGGTGACAGACAATACACAAACTAGCAAAATACAGAGAAAATAAGTATAAATATCTTATAAAAATATACAAGATAAGAATATGTCTTCTCCATCCTGATGATGGGTGATAAGATTTGACAGTGAAAAATACAGCAGGGGACTAGAAGCTACACACATGCTCACAAGTACTGCGGGGGATAAAGAAGAGCAGAAGCAGAAGTGGTTGAAGATGCTCGCCAAAATTTTGGTAGCATACCAGAAATGTAAAGTCTTGAAAGTTGCTTAAAAATTGTTACTTTTTTTGTCACTGAGGTCAGAATCCATGGGAGGATAAGTAGCCTCGAAGTGACATGATCTCTTGTTCACTCTGAAAGAATCACTCTGGCCTCTCTTTTGAAGTTAGACTATAGGGAAAGGAAGCAGACAGCAGAGAGGCCAGTGAAGAGGCTGCTGTGAAATCTGGGTGGGAGAGGATGGTGGTTCATGTAGACGTGGGGGTGTGGTCAGGGCCGAGACAGGGCTCCCTCTGGCCAGCTGAGCCATGATAGTCCTCTGTGCCACAAAGCCATCGTTGGGTGGTGATAAGGGAACATGAAGACTTGAGGGAAAAATCCTTTGAAACTCATTGTAGCGATGGGCAGTCATATTTCTGAAAAACATTTATTACTTTGGTCTAAAAATATTTTTCCACCTACTTAAGAAAATCATTCCATTGCAGGTCAATGTTTTATTTTAAATATAGCAGAATCCTAGTATCAGCTTATTGGGGGCAGGATATAGCCCACAAATTCTTTCATATATTGAAAGCATGGTCAACTGTAAATGCTAGTCCTTTCTTGCAGAATAAACATCAGAAACATTGAATTACACAGAATAACTTCATAATGTAATAGCTTAATTCTTTTCCAATTTATTTATTTTTTAACTTTTAAATAATTATTTAATTTTATTGGTACATTTAAGGTATACAATGTAATGACATTCATCATTGGAAATTTGCACCCTTACATAATCCATCTTGGTTCTTATTTTTTCCCCATTCCCCTGCCCTTCCTTCAACCCCTCCACCCCTCCCTATCTACAAAGACTTTAATTCCATTTTTTCTTTTTTACATGTTAATTCTTTTCTAATTTAAAAAATATATTTGATCCAATGTTGCACGAGCAGAGTTACTTGGAGAACCAGAATTTATTAAATGGCAACATTACGCAGAACATGAGTTAAGGAGTGTTGACTAACATAAGATTAAACTCCATGGACACCACAGGCTCCCCCATCTCACTTGCCATAAGCTTACTCCACAGTAGCTGTGACGGCTGAATTCCGGAGACCTCCAAAGTTACAGAGCAAATCTGGGCTAACCCGATTCTTAGCCCTTACCCAGCCCTAATGGATTTCAAGGGCAGAAGAGAACAATTGCACTGCATCAGGTATGGGAATTCCATCTCTACTAGTTAAGACTGTTCTCAGGGTCCCTCTTTGCAGTGGGCACTGAGGCCAGAGGAAACTCTGCACAATTGCAGGTGCCTTTGAAAGATTCATCAAGATTCCTCCCCCAAACTAAGAAGATCCAACTACTCACAGACATAGAATCAAGGCCACAGAAGCACTGATCCACTCAGCATCCCCCCATCAAGGTGAATAGAAACCACTCCTCCCAGGGAGGCCGAGTAGTCTGTCATATAAAATTCATCCTTGTTCATATTTACTTAGGATAGACATTTTTTTCTAGAAAATAAAAGCATCTAGTGAAATCAGATACAAATGATATACACAGGGAGGAACATGTCTTCTTTGTCACACAGATCAACTACGATTTTTTAAAAAATTTCTGAGTCAATGTTTCCTACCATTAAAGTTTCAGCTGCCAGTTCCTTCATTTTGCTCTCCTCTGATCTGAGAACATAAGCAGCAGGAGTACCTTTGCTCTTAAATTTAGTTTAATGTAAGTATTGCAAGCCCTGCTGGCAAGCCTCAAGGCACAAACGGAATGGGGGGTGGTCAGAGCTGAATTAGAAAGTGGGAAAAGTTATTAACTGCATGTGGGAAAAATATCTCTCAACCAAAATATGTTGAAAAGTTGAAGCTAGTTAGGATGGAAATCCAGTGGGCTCTCTTTTTGCTCTAAATCCTATATTCTATTTTGCCTATACCTGTTGGGCAAAGGTATTTTTTTTTCATAATCGATATACGGTTACATTTTATTTCCTACAACAGATAATGTGTGATCTGAATTTGTACGCACGATTTGAAATGCATGCAAATTATTATCTGAGTAATCACCATCTTTTTATGATTTAAAAGTTCAGTATTATTTATGCTGAATTCTAAAGCAGGAATTAGCTGTATTCTAGCAAATAGAAGCAGCCAAGCTGAAAACAAGAGGGGAAAAAAATGCAAGTATGTTCAGGGACCTGACAATTCAAGCTTTAATTATATATCCACAAAGGGAAGAAAGACTTCTACTCTCTGTTAACATGAGTTGTGGTGTTTGCCTTGTATTGGCCAGACAGCTTTCCAGGTTCCCAGGTGAGCATCAACCTAGACTTGACAACAAGGAGTGTGACTAGGGCTGTGTGGCGAATGACTCAGGCCCATAGCAGAAATGGAACACACTACCCTTGGCCATCAGGTTTCTCCCAGCTTGTTGCTGCAGAGGAAAACACACAAATGGCCTGTAATCACAAGGAGGGGAATCGCTCAGGTTCAGGTAAGGGAGAAGGAGAATAAGAGGTGCCTTGCTGGCTGGTACTGAAGTGAACTTAGCCCATAGAACCCAGGCTGAAGCAGTCTGCTCAGAAGACCCAGAGGCAGCCCTGACAGTGCCAGCAAGTGGGCAATGCTGCATGTGGCACCACGGGGCTGAGACAAAGATCAAAAGGCCGCCTGAAGCCATTCCACTGTTGGTATTCAGAAGAGACTTGACGCAACCTTTGATCTGCTGGTTGGTTCTTGTATCAGCGGTTACAGTCTCTAAGTTTGGCCCCCACATGCAAAGACAAATGAGAATGGAAAAATACAGGATGAAAGGTTTGAGAGTTCTGGGTCAGGGTAAATGTGTTTCATGGTGTGAGTTTAAATTTCTGGCCCCCAAGTAAAATTCTTCAAAGACTAATGCCCCTCCTTCCACTACCCCAGGGATGTCATCATCAGGAAACATGGTGGGGTGGGGTGGGGGGGTGCCCCTACATAGACAGAGGCTACTTGGGAAAGGGCTGTGTCTGAGGCTGACCTGTCCCCAGGGTTCTGTGACTCTGGAGTACAAGCTGGGATGAGAGAAATAAGGAAATAGGCCACAGCAAGTAAGTTTATCATATATCCTCAGGAGAGTTCAAAATAAACATGACAAAATTATTTATAAGAATTAGAACTTCATTGCAGCAAGCTCTTGGACTAAGGAAGCTTAAAGGAAACCAAAGAAGAAATATCAGAAATTATGCTCCTTATAAAAGTAAAAAACTATTCATACATATGTTTAAGGAGTCCTTAAATAATGTTTATCCCTTGCCTTAGAATTTTTGAAAACTTCTAGCATCCTGTGGTATATAATTAGGTAGGTTGCTAAATAAATAGAAATCACACTTTTCCCACCAACTGACATTTATTTGATGGTTAAATCAAAACATAAAGTAGAACAAGTGTTTGAAACTGGGCCACATTTCACTTGACTTCCACCTACAGATTATCAATGAACATTTCTCCAGCTTAACATATTTCAGCCTGAAAACCGGGAAGCAAATTATAATACAGCAAAGGAGAGACAAAAAGTTAAGTTACAATTCAGTAGAATAACTCCTCTGCTTGTCCCAAGTTATAAAATACAGGTCATTCATACAAAACCAAACCCAAAACAAAACCTGAATTACTTGCTAAGTGTTTAGGTGAATTGTTTTAAAAAATGAGGTGTAGATCCTATGAAACCGAACACTAATTTAAGGAAGGCCAAGACGTCGGCAATATGTATATGTACTGATATAATCCAATACAGTTTGTTCTCTTGAAATTATCAGATACGGTTAATTTTATTTGTTGTTGTTATTATTATTTGTTTGTTTATGTATTTATTTTACCAAAGCCTACAGCGTCTCAGTTCTTTTTTTGTTCCCTCCCAGTTCTGAACAGGATTCATGGACTTTTTCCTACACTCATTTACTTTTCCAGGTGAACTGGGGCGCAAAGAGCGCGACCTTCCCCAGCTCCTCTTTCTTTTGGTTTCTTGAGCTAAAAGGCGAAGGCCTCGCCTCAGGAAGCTTGACTCTCAGATGGCGGAAGGTCTCACGGGGTCCGGGAAGGACTGCCCGGAAGAACAGCCCACCTCTCCTAGAAGGTGCCAAAGTCCTGTCCCCATCGCAAACCTGGGTGGAGTGGCTCTGCGCGGCAATTCTGATTTTCCGTTTTGCCTAAGAGATTCCCCACCGGTACCAGATGCTGGGCGCTCGCGCAGCCCTCTCCTCTGGTCTAGGTGCCGAGGCCGCCGGGCAGGAAACTGAGACGCCGAGAGCGTCTCCAGGGAAACAGAGGCCAAGAGGGGCGGTCGGGGCGGAGCTAGGCTAAATCGGGGTTAGGGATTGGGCAGCTCTCCGACTCTTCTGGTGTGGGGGCGGTGCCTGGGGCAGAGGGGCCAGTTGCTCTCCGGGCAGAGCTGGCTTCTCTAAGGAGGCTGCTTTCAGAAGTTCACAGAACCCGGGCGGAAGTTTACCGCCTGAGTCATTTCCTTCAAGCCACTACATTCTCAATATTTTGCAACGTTTCCATTTTGTCCCGGAGACTGGTGGAAAACCGCTCAGTTTTGCATTCACAACCCCATGACCTGTTGCCATTTTACCCCACTGGATAAATCACCATTACCTTCTGTTACACATTCTCTTCTGCAGCAGTCCGAACTCACGGAGATACCTTTCCCAATCCCGTCTCCAGTAAGATACTCCGATTTTGAGTTGTAGTCAACTAGAAAACTCAGTCTCTTTTAGAGAATCTCCTTTACCCTATTCCTATTATTATTGTTGTTACTGAACTTGTAGCTGAATGTTGGGATTTTATGTTCACACACACAATTTAATCGTCACCCGGCTAATCTCATCCCATTTTTGATTCCCTTGGTTCACACGCAGGTGCAAAGAAACGAGACCTCTTGCTTATTCTCTTATAGCCATAGGGGCAAACGAGTGAGGCTCATTACTTATGATTCTCAGATACAGATGTACAGCAAAGTGAGGGTTTTATTCATTGTCTCGTTGCACACCGTAAGAGAGGTAGCAGCAATATTGCTCATTCTAGTAACTGGAAATTGATTCTGTTTGCAGTGCAAGCGGAATAACCCTAACCACACTTTCATTCCAACATCCTATTTGCTGTAACAAATCACTAAATTGTTTCCACCACGTAGGTTCACCACCCACGTCCAATTGATCGTTGTGACTACTTCAGGCTGGGCTCCGCCTCATTCCTGACATCAGGTTGTCCCCACTCATTTGAACTCTGTTGTGACTTGTGTGAATTCTGTTCTGGGTCTTGCTGTTTTTCCGCATGAGAGGCTTGTGAATTCTTTGCATCTCATTTGTCACGTGATGCTCCCTCAGGTGGAGGAATTATTCCTTCCACAGCTGTGTATTTCCACTGACTAATTCTATTTCTCCTTCTGCTTGGCAAAGGATTTCTCAGAGCTAGGAAGTTCAGTTAGAAAACTTCATCTGGAAGTTACATAAAACTCAAACAGGCTTCAACACCATGAAAAGGAAGCTTTCCTACAATCACAGAATGCCAGCTTCCGGTGCCATTTATTTAGAGATTTGGGCCATTCCGAAAGTTTCAAGGACTTTAGAACACCCCTGCCATGCTCCACACAGAATTAATTTCTACTTTTGCTCCTTCCTCTTAGACCTACCTTAATTATATTAATATCTCTTTGCATGGTACTTGGTTTGTATAAGCCAGTCTTCCCTGGAAGACTGTAAACTCATTTTTAAAACTTTTATTAGTATGTTTGTAGTACATAATGAACACATTTTTGTTTCCTTTTTTGCTCCTCCCTCCACCCGTTTTATTTTTCCAGCATCAGATTTATTTAATTATAAGATCTTATAAAGTTAATTATGATATATACAGATTGAAAACTAGACTAGTAGGCCAAAGAATGAAGATTGCTTCTGCATTTTATTTGAAGAAAGCCAGAGCAGGGTCATGTTCTTTTCAAGAAGATGAGCACATCTGTATTGATGGGTACCTCCTCTAGCAAGAACTTTAGCAAATTGTCACTTAAACTTCATGGGAAGCTGAAAAATATGGTCTTTGTTGACATATCCTTACAACTGATTAAAAATCAGGGTCGTGTAACTTTGGAGAATAAGAAAGAATGGCTAATAAGAGAAAATCAGCATCAATCCTACAGATATCAGTTCATCTTTAAAATGGCAAAACTGGATCTCTGGTGTAACTTGCCTCTATTGTTTTTGAAATAAGATGGTTTTTCTCTAACTTTCTTATTTGAGTGAGAATTTTGACATCTCTTGATGCAGTGGGGCAAATCATGTCTTGTTGGGTTTCTTTTAGGGTGACAGCAAAAGGCATCAGCTGTGTGACCTCCACGCCCACGTAGGAAAGAACTCAACCCTCAGGTACCAACACATACACCTGGAGCACAAGTGTTTTCCCACAAATGTATTTAAAATCTTCATAAGGATGTGTTTTTGTGTTTAAAGTCCTCACTCCTGTTCTATGTCTAGGGGTGAGGATACCAAGTAGGGTGCAGAATAATTCAGACCTAATTTGCATCACATTCAGACTTAATTTTCCTCTTACTTTCAGTCCCTTGATAATTACTTCTACTTTACCTGCATATGCTGAGCAATAACTCCAGGGCTTATGTTGGAAAATCATCCATTATAGCTTCAGTGTTCTGGTTTCTTCTACCTATTTCATTCTTCAACCTGCTACCTTCTACTTTGTCTTCCAAAGTTCTTTAAAATCTCTCATCTATCCACCGACATCTCCTCTCTTATTTTCATCATGATTATTATTATGTTTGTCTATGATATTTGTAAATTTCTGTTTCACTGGCATCTTGAAAGGGAAGGAGATAAACGTGTGCTTCATTTGTTAGGCTCTAAATTTTTCATAGGAAAGGAATTCTAAAATAAGACAGAAGAAAAATTAAGAGACAAAACAAAGAAAACAAAATATAGAAAAAAAGAAAATGTAGTGAAAATTCCAGGCATGGTAGTATATGACTGCAATTACAGCTACTTGGAAGGCTGAGGCAGGATTGCAATTTTGAGGCTAGGTTGAAAAACTTATCTAGACCCATCTCAAAGAAAGAGGGGAGAGGAAGGTTGCTTGAAATGTAACTCAGTGATACAGCATCTCTAAATTCAATATTCAGCACCACCAGAAAAAAAAGACTTATTAATTCACAATAGCCCAGTCATAAAATATCTTCAATTTATAACAGATAAATTCATTTTCTATAAATTTATATCAGATTTTTGTATCTAAATGTGCATTGGCTGTCGTGCATCTATTTCCTGTTCCAGTATTAGTGTCCTAAATTCCTGTGGCCGAGAAATAAGAATGTGTCAGAAGATTCAAGTTCCAGTTTGGAACTTGAATTTTGAATAGCAAAGCAAGGAGACCAAAAAGTGTTTGGCATTTATTCCACACCAGTAGTAGTTTCCTCCTACAGGAGGAGAGGGAAAAGAAGCCCTCCATGTAGCGATTGCACTGAGTTACATAATTGAAAGTTTTCACTAAATTATAATAAAGTTTATTCAGAAAGATTTCCTGTAAATAAAGGATACACAGAGCCAGAGATAAGAAAACAGGCAACTTCAAGTCAGTCTTTGATCTTTCCATGTTACACAGGATCCACTTCATCATCAGAACAAAAGTTTCCCAAGTAATCTTTCATACTTCACTGATCTCATAGACAAAACCACACTATGTAACTAGATAAACAGGTACAGATACCAATCAATGTATTTTTAATAAACAGCATAGACAAGCTAGTACACAGTGCACTCAGAGGTGTTTCAGACATTAAATGGCTGCTATTGTTGGAATATTGTGTGTCCCCTCCAAAATTCATAGTAAAATCTGACTGCTCTTTTGGTGATTTGGGGATGAGGGTCATTGTAGAGGTGATGAGGTCATTAAGAGGGATTAATTGCTTTCTTGCTGGACTGGATTACTTACCAGTAGAGCAGCTCACATAATGTAAGACTGCCCTTCCTGTTTTCTCATTTCCTCCTTGTCTTCCTATTTTTTTCCATGTTCTATTGCAACACAAGACCCTTGCCAGCTCTTTCTGCCCAATCTTGGAGGTCCAGCTTCTACAACCATATAATAAATAAACTCCTTTCCATTACAAGCTAAACAGAAAATAGATCAAATCAACATTATATGAGCAGCTAGTACATTTAACTCCTATCTTGGCTAGGCAATCCTGGAGATAAACCCAGAGATTTCAAATTCAAGCTAAACCTCCTTTTCCCTAGTAAAGCAAAAGTCAGTCTATTTCTGGGGAAATTCAGAGTTGGAAAATATGGGGATAATAATTTCTTACATGTTCTCATCTAATCTCTGGGCTAGCTGGAATATATATATTCCAGTTGAACTAACAGTCATCAGTTGACTGGATGGCAAATGGGAACTCTAATTGTGCTGCTATTCATGCTAGTACCTTTTCTTCTGAGATATGTGGCATGCAGTATATATGGTGTCACCTCTATATTTCAAGAAATAGGGGGAAAAAAGAAGCAATTTGTTTTTACCTAGCAGGGGCAGCAGTGTACTTTTATTTTCTAATTCAATAATCTGACAACTCTGGCTACTTCCATGCAGTTTAGTCCACAAGTACCTTAATTACCTTACTATCTCATAAAATATCAGGCTGGATCACTGCACTGATTGATATTCTAGTAAATCTGGCGAGCAAGAAATAGCAGGCACCTTGGTCTCCTTGGTACAAGTATACCTGTCAAAAGGAACAATGTACATCTTATAAAATTCAGGAGTCTTTCACCTCAGTGAAATCCTTTTTAAGAGGTGGTGTTTAGATGGGTGGGCACTTCAATGTGGAGGATAACTCACTGAAAATTTCCCACCCAATCAAAATGCTCATTTGACTATTTTTACATTTTAAAAATTGGTATAACTCCGTGTCTATATCCTATCACGAGATAATTATGATAGTTTTTGTTTTGTGGCCTCAGAATCTGCCTTGCTACCTGGTGTGATAAAAAAACACTGTGTGTGATTAAATTTCAAAAGCTATGTTACATTGAGAGATTCATTACCATTAATCATCAAAATACTCCTCTTGTTTTGAATACATTTATCTCATGATTCTGTCACTTTCTGAAGGAGTTCAGGAAGTTTTTTTTTTTTTTTTTTGGTACCAGGGATCAAACTCAGGATCTTGCACTTGTGAGGCAGGTGGCCGCACCACTGAGTCAAATCCCTGGCAGAAAGTCACTTTTTTGTGAGTGTATTTAGTTCCACTATTGTGGCTGCTGTGATGTCCTGAATATATTCTAAAAGATTATATTTCATGGTTATTTGTCTTCAGAAGAGAGCCAGAAGTCATATGCTACCAGGTCTGTTGAAGAATGTGGGTGAAGATACACCATATTCTATTCACTAGCCTGCATTTCCATTGGATGATGCTCAGCAGCAGTATTCACCATGTCTTCTATTAATCACATTTCATAAAGACACCAGCAAAAGAACTGCTTTAGATAGTGGTCAAAACAATGGGATAAGCGTGTTTATTGTTAATATCAATGTGTCTTTTACTGTAGTATTGAAACTTTTAAACTTTCATCATATTTTTAGCTTACTCCTTTTATCTGAATTTTTCAAATCTGATTTTCTGGCTTCAGTGATTTTTGTTAGCCCTTGATATTACTTATTCCAAAAAATTAATTTCTATACCTAGCCCATTATGACTTGTGTTTAGATGTTCCCGTAAAGCCTCATGTAGTCATAGGTGGAGCTTTTTAGAGGTGACTATATTTGGGGAGTGTGATGCTGAAACTAAGTTTGTGTTACTGGGACTAACAGTGTGTGGTCACTAAATTAGTCTACTGAATGGTTTAGCATAGTTCTGGGGTGTGGATAATGAGAAGGCCCACCCCAGCTGAAGTTTACATCACCCAAAGGATGGGTAGCCTGGATGAATATAAAGGGACAGAAAAATGCAAGCCAGTGGCTGCTTTTGCTTCTGCTGCTGCTTCTTTGCTATTTCATTTCTTTGCTGCCTTCTGCCTACCATGAACTGTTTCTTCTCTGAGATGCCCCTCTGCCATGCCACCCTGCCTTGGAGCCAGCCAACTATGAACTAAAACTGCTATAAACCGTGAACCGAAAGAAGCCTTTCCTCCTTTAACTTTGAGTGTTGGGTATTTTGTCTCATTAACTTTTCTATGGTTACATTGAGCTTTATTTTCTTTTTTTAACATAGAAATTTAATAAGTTTAGTTTTAAAGAAAAGTAACTAAGACACAGCTGAAGTTAAGATGTATGACATAACAAAATAATACAAATTTATGTAAAAATTAAGAAAGTATAAAATTATATAAATTAAGTAAAATTAATTAATATACAAATTAGTAATTAAAGATAATATCAGTTACAATGAATATTTTACAAAGCATATTCTATAAAGTAGTTGACATTTCTAATATTTTGTTAAGAAATTGCATTAAAGAGCATGCATAACAACTACATTAACTTTTCTATGATTACACTGAGCTTTATTTTTTTATTTTTTAATATAGAGATTTAATGTTTAGTTTTAAAAACTGAAGCCAAATATTTCGTGCATAAAGTCATGCATGCATAATAATATATTCTTGACCTAGTTAAATTATAAAATATTTTTGAGGTTCAAACATTACATTTTCCTAGTAAATCAGATGAAGAATATGAGTCAATATTTATTGATTTTAACTAAATAGTGCATTGAACACGTTAGTCTAATGCAAAACAAAACTCATTTGTTATTAATGCTTCTGAGTAATAATTTTTAGACTAAATTTTGAATAGAAATAATTTAATAGATTTTACCAATATGTATAGCATTCTTATAATTGTCCTAAATGTTTTGCAGTTAAAACAACTTATAAGACTACATTTTAAGACCCAATCAAATAGAAGCAGCAAATAGTTTTTGAACTGGTCATTTTCAAATTCCTTTGTTTGGTGGGACTTTGTAAAATGACAGGGCCTGGCAAGGGAGAAGTAGTGGTCCAAGGACACCCTTCTCAGGTGCACCAATGCCGGAACAGAGCATATTTAAAAGTTGTCTGGGAAAGAATTTCCACTTGAATTTGAACATTTAAACATATCTTATTTTTGTATGCTTCCATACTATGAATGCAACTATAATGGCAATACAAATGAAAACAAATTTCCACTCAACAATGTTTCCAATCATTGTCCAAATATTTTAAAATCTTAATTATGTATATATACACATATTAGTCAGCTTTTCACTCCTATGACAAATATCTGAGATAAACCAATATTAAGAAGGAAAGATTTATTCTGGCTCATGGTTTCAGTGGTTTCAATCTGTGGTAACATGGCCCCATTAATCTGGAACAGTAGTGATATAATATATCATCAGGGCCCTAGTGCCCTTCCTTCTTCCCCCTAAACTCCAACTCCTGAAGTTTCCATAACCTCTTGATAGCACCACAGGTTGGTGACCAAGTCTTTAATATATGGGCTCTGGGGGACATTCAAGATTCAAACTATAATAATATGTTAATAAGCATATACATATATAAATCTCCATACAATCACTTAGATGTATACAAATGCTATCCTAAGATATCGAGAGCCATGTTAATGTTTTTCCAGGGTAACTCAGAAATGAAACTTCTCATTTTCCAAAGACAAAAATCTGTTAACTGTATATGCAAGGGAAATTATAAATTTATGAACACAAAGTAAGATATAAAGATATTTCTCAAGGATTGTCATAAAAGATGACAAATGTCACATTTGGTAAAATTCTGCTATAACTTCCAGAAGAATCTCACAGGGAAACAATTTAATGGATATAAAGATACCAATGTAAGGTGAAAAAGATGCAGCAGAGCAAAAGAGAGTAACACTTCTAAGCACTGAATTTGAAAGTCTAAATCCATCCATCCATTTGCTATTTCAATAACTCATGTACTCTGCTAAATCAGGTTGACAGTATCAAGATAAGTCATGGTCTAAGTAAAATAACAGCCTAGACATAAAAAACAGAAGTTGTTTCTTTCCTTGAAGATCTGTGATCCATCTACACCAAGAGACTTGGACCTTGTTTTCTTAATAGCCCAAATCCTACATTATCCCTTATGGCCTGTTTCCCACCTTGCTTCTCAATATGTTCTAATTCTGTTTATAATTTATTCTTTAAGATCTCTAACTCACCATGAATATCTCTTGTGGTGCTAATCGCAGGCTTTCCAGGCATTCACATCACGTTAGTCACCTGCCTCCCGCTAGTGTGCATAATAGCCCAGTGGAACCTGACATAGCATAGACAGTTGTGGCAGATGCTCCTTCGTGGATCCCTCTAGTTCTAGGGACATAGTACCGAGTGTCATAAAGACGACATCACAACCCGTGTCCTGGAGGAACCATCCAGGTGCTCAGGACTGCATGGAAGTGTGAGGTCATAGAAGACTTCACAGAAGAATAATGCTTACGATATGACTTTGAGCCTTGAAAAATGAGTAGAGATCTGCCAGGGGTGTTGAGGAAAAGAGAGTGGCAGAAAATGATGGCTTACTTCTTACAGGACAGGGAGCTGTGGAACATGAGCCCAGCTCCAAAACAATGTAGCAATATAAAACTTTAACCTCCAATAAAGAAAGAAAATACTAATACATTCATTAATTTAACTTAGGGTTATCATTAGAATACATATTGATTTTATAGAATTGGCTAGAATTGGGATATTGGGACATGGAAGAATTAGGAATGTTCTTTAAGAAGTTTGAAATAAAGCCATATTTTGAAGCAAATAAAAAGCCACCAGTCCTTTATGGGTGTGTGTTAGTCAACCTTCCACTGAAGAATATCAACTTAGAAGAGGAAACATTTATTTTGGCTCATGGTTGCAGAGGTTTCAGTCCATGATCACTTGGATCATGGTGGGAACGCATGGTGAAGCCGAGTTGCTCCTTTTACGGTGACCAGAAAACAGTCAGGAAAAGGTCAAGGCCAAACTCTTAAATGTTACACAATCATGCACTTGGATCTGAACACAGTAATAGATGAGATTATTTTTTGGTAGACGCCTTTTGGGAATGGAATGATCACAGTTTTTCATTTTGTTTTTTGTGGAAGAGAGAACTGTGTTATGCGATTGTTGGAATAGTGGTGTCTGCTGATGTAGAGGTGATAATTTAGCGTTGTTTTTGGTCACCCACAGTCTGAAGCTTCTACTTCTGTTTGGGAAATCTCACACCCTATGAAGAGTGTACTTATGTTTATAGGAGCTGAGTATGCCAGGTTACTTTCCTTGACTCCTTTGTAACGAGAACATGGACACACTTCCAGTTTCAGCCAGGCAGGCATTTCTGCTTCAGATTCTCAACCAGAAGTGAGTCATGTCATGGCCCACAATGGTCAGGCAGAACTAGAAATACTGGGACCCATGGTTTCCCCCACACCCAATTTTCAAAGAAACATTGTATAGGGCTTAGGCCGGCAATGATGGAGCGAGAAGTACAAAGTGAGGTATGGGTGCATTTGAGGCCAGCACCATCCCACCAGCTGATCTTGCTGTTTAAGTAACTTGTTTTTTATTTGAGCAGGAGTATCCCTACTCTGCTTTGTAAAGTTACCTGCAGGTTTACATCATCTACACAGACCTGTTGTAGCGCTTCAGTTTCTATAGATAAAAAGCCTCAGAGCTGGATTTATTCTGACATCTGGCTTCCAAAGTCCTTGCCACCATTTATCATGCTCTATTTCTTTGAGTAGTTATGTCCCACAGATGTTATACGTCACTTTGAAGGTAAGTGGTCTCCTCAAAACTCTTCCAAATCACTTCAATGGTATACTTTCCCAACTATCTGATTGGGTACTATCTACTGATAATAGCCATCAATTTTATTTGAAAGCTGTTTTTTATTGGAAATGTAATACCCACCTAAACCGTCCCCCACCTTAACATCATTAATGTGCTGCTCGTATCTTTAAATTTGCTTTTCATTACTGTATCTTTCACCAACTTATTTCTCTTTGCAGAAAAGGACAACATGGTCTCTGCAACTTATTCAGCCTGACTTCCAACACTGGAATTATTACTGCTTATCCTTCCTGCCTTTTGAAGCTCTTGGTGAGCCTCTCTTATTGCTCAGTTTGGCTCTTTCCCAAACTGAGGAGCTGGAGTAACAGAGTTTTACAGTTTACCTAGAAACTGTCTTTGAGATGGTGGAAGGTTTTATGGGAAAAAAAGTGACCCTTAGAGGTGCAGAAGCATATCTGACTAGGCTGGTTTAAATGGAAAAGAGCTTGCAACAATAAAGTGGACTTATTTTATGTGCTAAATTAAGCACAAAATTCATAGAAGGCACATTTTTGTATAAGCATAATTTTGTCTGGTTGATGATTTCTACTGGTTTCCTAATGGAAAAGAATGACTGTCTCACTTGAAATACATGTCACAAAAATTCTCCATATCACATCTCCACGTTTTTTATGTGCATTTTGATGGAGAGACGAGATGGAGACAGTATTGCTCTTGGATGTGAAATAGGTTACCCCAGTAAGCATTCTCAGTAGATATAGCTCACTGTGCAAGTCACTGAAGCACATGAATTCCAAAAGAGCACATCTATGTGGTGTTTCATTCCCCCAACCACACACTGAAAGGAAAAAAATATATTTTCAAGAAACTTGACATTCAATGTATTTATTTCAGTGTTTCCATTGTTCCCTGAATCACTTATTGTTCCAGAGAGAAAAAGTTGAGAGTTGCAGTAGAAACTGCAGATGTTTTCCAACAGCTTATTCTTCTAAAATATTGATAAAGTTTATAATGACAATACTTTTCATGTTTTCCCTATTAGTGCTAAGCTGAGCAGGGGGATTATTTAATAAAGTAAAAAGCAATGAACAGTCGGTTCATAGAAGCTATAGCTGCCAAAAAGGGCATATCAACAGAGGAAGGAAGAGGTTTTAAAATGATGCTGAGAACATTTAAAAATTATGAAATAGCAAAAATCAATTATTGTGAGGAAGATTAAGCACCTATGGAAATAGTCTATTGTATGGAATGCCGTGCAGAAATTTTGCCTCTGAGGACTTGGGGTGATAAAGTCCTGGTTGTTTTGTTTTGTTTTTTGGAAAATTGAGTCTGTGATCTGTTTCACTAAAATATTCAATGTCATGACTGCTAAAAAGAACAGAAGGCAGAGGGTGTGGAAGACTCAAATTCCCGGTCCTTTAGAGAAGCTGAGGCTGGCTCTAGAAACCAACACCAGCTATTTAGCTGGCGAGAGCACTAGAATACGCAGTTGTCCATGTATATCCTAAGGACGTCTTACTCTTTCCTAATTCCATGCTCACTGATAAACTTGGATCTATAACAGGTTATTATGAACATAGGATTCACAAAAGTTTGCCTTTTCAAAGCCAACATGTTACGATTTATATCACACTACCCACCCTACATCCACTGTACTAAGCAGTCAGGATTTGTTGCCTCATTAAATACAGATTTTAACATAAATTGTCATTGTAGTATGCAAATCACTCTTTGCAAAATTTCAGTTAATGAGAAGCCATGTCTGCTTTGTGATCACTTCTTGGTGAACTGGTAAATATTTGTAACTGGTAAATATTTGTTTTTGGGTCAGCAAAGCTGTGCACAAGTTGCTTGGAACTGGTGTTTCCCACTCAATGCTGCCCTTCCATAAAACTTTACAGAGCAGCCTACTTCAGTATCTCTACAATTTCAAAGTATGTCACAGTCATTTCATTTTTCTACTTCCACAACTTTAAAGGAACTAAGAGCTATTTAAATTAAGGTGATATTTTGTGATTTGAGTCTGCAAAATTCACAAAGTGACATTCCATCATATTTGCATAAGTAACTTAATCCTCTTGTAAATAGCATAAATTTGGGAATGCGATTTCCACTGCAGAAATAAAAATTTATAAATTCTGTGCTTTTCCTTTATAATCCTTTTACAATAAAAAGATATAAATAATTACATATTTTAATTAAGACCTCAACCTTTCAAGTATTATATTTTACTCATGGCTGGTCCCATGAACAGATTGCTTTTTAGAAGAAGATTTTGATACGTTCTTTTAAAAATCTCAGACGGGAATTTCATCTTTCTCTCACACTTTACCCCAAGCAGAATTATAAACTATAAACTACTTATTATAATAATCCTTAAATTTGTCTAACTACATTAGTTATTCTATTGGATACCATCTCTACACACCAAAAATACAATGCTAAACAAGACATGTAGGTGTTTGAATATTACAGTGGACAGGCAGGACATAAATAGGTAAACAAAATAATTTCAAGGTTATGGATAAAATTGAAAAGTGATATGATTCAAGTGGCGTGTGCTTCTACACACACACAGACATGTGCTTGGAGATGTCTGTTTAGAATGCATAGTGAGAGAAGGCTGACATTTACTTGGCACTGAACCCCAAAGAAACGATGGAAAGGAAGAAGTCAGCACAGGAGGACTGTGGGTGGGCGGGAGCATGAGAGCTGCCTGGGACAGGGGAGGCAAAACCCAGAGGTGAAGTTTGGTGCATTGTGTTTTTTTTAGTCTCCCTGTGATTCCTCGATTTTAGTGTTCAGAGTGTGGATAATCCCTTCTGCTTGAGTGTGAGTGATATTTTTGACATGCTTTAGCCCCTGTACCTGACAAAAATGATGCATGACACTCTCGTGACGATTTTATGTGAAATGACTCCATCTTGTTTCCAGACTCACTCTAATCTCTCTCCGTCTCTCAGCTGTTACTAGTTACTTCTCTTTTCAAGATGGAATGTCCACAACTAAGAGAAAAGGCTTATTTTAGCTCATAGTTGTAGAGGCTTAACAGTCCACAGCTGGCTGGCTCCAGGGTAGGGTAGGGTGGCATGGCAAGAGGGGCTTGGCAGAGGAGAAACAGCATCTGATATGGCAGCAGGAAGCAGAGAGAGAGAGAGGGAGAGACGGAGAGAGGGAGAGAGAGAGAGGGAGAGATGGAGAGAGGGAGAGAGAGGGAGAGAGATCAAGGGAGGAAAGAAGGAGGTAAGACTCTTCCATGCCACACTCCCAGCGACTCACTTCCTCTGACCAGGCTGCACCTCCCAACATCATATTTAGCTATAAACTCATTGGTGGATTAATCCCCTGATAACTATTGCACCTCTCTGATCCAATCACCTCCCCCGAACCCCACTTATGAGTGCATAAGGCGTGGGGGGAGTATCTGATATAAATCATAACATGTTGGCTTTGAAAAGGCAAACTTCTGTGAATCCTACGTCCATAAGAAGTTGAATGCGTCTAACAGAACAGCCAAGGGAAAAAGGATGCTTTCCTGGTTGAAT